TTTGTGTTAATTTGGATGACTGGAAGCCTATATTAGAGGTTGGGGTATGTGGAGGGAAATAATGGGAGACAAGTCTGGAAAGGTAGGTTGAGGTTCCATGTCAGAAGTCCCTGAGTGCCAGGTTGAGCTATTTGATATCTATCTTATGATCAGTAGGGAGACATAGGTTCTTGAATAGGAAAAGACACAAAATAGAATTATAGATTATTAGAACTGTTAGGCAACTTAGAAATCATTTAGTCTAAATACCTCATGTGAGATCTAGAGAAGTTAACCAGTTTGTCCAATATCACACAGCTAGCTAGTTGGTAACAAGCCAGTATTAGAACCCAGGTCTCCTGACTCTGGGTAGCTAGGTAGTACAGAGAATAGGGTACTGGACCTGAAGTCAAAAAGACTCCTCTTCCTGAGTTCAAATCTGGCCTCAGACACTTACTGACTGTGTGACCCCTGTGGCAAGTCACAACCCTGCTCACCTCAGTTTCTTCATCTGCAAAATGAACTGGAGAAGGAAATAGCAAACTACTCCAATATCTTTGCCAAGAAAACCTCAAATGGGGTCACAAAGAGTTGGACATGACTAAAATGACTGAACCACAACAACTCCTAACTCTAGTTTTCCTTTCATGACTAAAGTGTGATTTTTAGGAAGGTCAATCTGATAACGAGGTTTAGATGGACAGAAGTGAAGACCAGTTCAGAGGCTATATTGGAATAGTCCAGGGTAGACATAGTGGCGGCTTAAATTTAGTGTTGATTCTGGAAAAAGAACAGAGATGAGAAATATTGAGGGTAGACATTACAGAACTTGGTGGGTAGAAGGAGAAGAATGCATTAACACAGTGGCTGACACATTGTGAGTGAGTAATCAATGCTTACTGACGTATGGCACATCACAGGTTTAGAGCCTTGGTGACTGGAAGAAGGATGGTACCATGAACAAAAATTTTATGGCAGGAGGAAGAGCAGGCCTTCAAGGGAAATATTGGGCTCCATTCCATTGAGGTTGGGCTGTTGGGTGAATATCTAGTTTGGGAATAACCCATGAAAGTGAGAACTGAAGCTATGAGAGGAGATGAGCTTTCAGCATCTCTCCATATCAGTGGGTGAGTCAGAGTGTTAAGTGATGTCTTATCTGGGCACTGAATCAAGTAGACTAGCCAGTCCTGGGAGTTGAACTAGATTATCTCTAAAGTACCTTTCAGCTCAGATGTGCTATACGTTGTGTTCCAAAGACCCTCCCACCTCTGAGTTCTATCACTTGAGAGACATAGTGGATAGTGAACTGGACTTTGAGTTCAGGAAAACCTGTGTTCAAATCCTGATTCAGACACTTCCTGGCTGTGTAACCCTAAGCAAGACACTTAACTTCTATGTGCCTCAGTTTCTCCCTCTCGAAAATGTGGAAGTTGGATTCTAAGGTCACTTCCAGCCCTAAATCTATACGATGATCATTGGAGTTCTGCTCCTATAGGAGAGTGTGGGAGAAGATGGAGGAGTGTGTAACAGTCAGGCTTTAGTGTCAGGCCTGAAGTGGGGCAAAGTCTAGCTGTCAGAAGAGCCATGGGCCTAGACAGAGTAGGACCCTGCTGGAAGGGCCTGGGGAAATGGCTTTAGAGCCTCCTGGATGTATTCCTGTGTGACCTCTTGTCACCTATAGAGTCTTTCCACAAAAGGCCACATAGTTCCCTGGTAGTCCATAAGTATAGTGCTGGCTGATTATGTGGGACCCCTTCCCCCACCCCCATTCCCAAACCTGATGTTGGTCAGTGTGGAGAGAGGCCAAGACAGCAACAGATCTTTCAGTGCAGACTGGGACTGGAGGCCTGGGCTCTGTCAAGCTTGCAGAGACTGATCTGAGCTTACTGACCAGTTTCAAAGGCCTGTAACACTGCTGCCCCATTGTATATTTGGATATCAGAGAAATTAATTTACTCCGAGTTCATCTTTCCCTGGCTCCTCCCCTTCATTAAGGTGGTAGTACACACACACACACACACACACACACACACACACACACACACACACACACACAC